TTATGGTCACGTGATCTGTCTAAATGAGGATTTTAATGATTAAAGAAAGGTCCTAGGAGAGAACCCCAGCTGATGCCCCAGCAGGTGTTCTCTGAGATGGAATGGGGTGGGAAGTAGGAGGGGAAAGGATGGAGCAGCCCCTTGTTCAGAAGAAGAGCTGGAGGGAGATGCCACGTAGTGAGACTGAATTCTCTACATAGTGGTCAGCGTGGAAGTTAGTCAACAAATACTTACTGAGAATTTGTGTAAGGGCTTAATGTCAAGAGATGGGAAATTCTGAAGACCCAGGTCCAGTGAAGTCCTTCCTGCAGGATAATCCTGGATGTTTGTATGATAGAAAACACTGAGCAATAATTATTCCCCCGTAGTAGTCTCACATATGTCCAGACTGGGAAGAATGAAGGTAGAGTAAGAATGTAGTTCTCCTACTGCATTTATTTTTATTCAACAACCATTTATGGAGCCCCTGCTATATACCAAGAAATTTCATATTCATTTATTCAATTAAGCTTTCATTGAGTTTTTACTATGTCCTGGGCACTGAGGGAAGCCAAGGAAACCAGTTTCGATAAGTCACAGCAACGGCCATCTGCAAAAGATCTGTCAAGGATGAATTAAGACAAGGTAGATAGGCAAATAAACTGAAATGTGGTCCACACAAGGTTAGAGATCTTCACAGCAGGAAAGGCAGGGCACCTAAACCCAGTCACAGGACATGATAAATGGGCCAAGCCATGCAAATAGGTAGGAACCAGCCAGAAGATCAAGGAGTAAAAACATCATGGGTTAGTGACCACTACTCAGACAAGCGGCTAGATTCTGGAATCATGAATGGCGGCTGACCACTTTACTAATTCCTTGTGGGCTATAAGATCTATCCACCCAATGAGCTTTAGTCTTAGAGTCCTCTGTCTGCCAAAGCTAGAGTGTTTCTGAAGAGCACACCATGTTCTCCTACAGTTCTTATTCCTCCTGTTCTTCACTTCCTATCAACTAGACCAAAGATCCGCAAACTGTGGCCCCAGGCCAAGCAGGGCCCCCACCAGTTTTGTAAATTGTCTCATTGGCACACAGTTACGCCCAACAGTTGCCTTGTCTGCTTTCATACTACAAAGGCAGAATTGAGTAGTTATGACAGAAACTGTTTGGGCCACAAAGCTTAGAATATTTACCATCTGGCCCTTAACAGGAAAAGTTCGCCAACCTTTGAGCTAAACTACAGCAGCCATGCTCTCAGCTGTCACTATTCTTTGTCATTTGAACCCAGGGGGATGTAGTCCCTTGACAGAAACCATCCTGGGAGGGAGTGAGTGGGGATGAGGGAGAGTGGGGACTGGAACCGGAGGCAGGGCCTAGAGATCTCTTGGCAGAGGAAAGACATCCTCTCTGCCAGGTGATTTAGGGCTGGTATAAGAGGACGTTATGAGGATACTGGGGCCTATCAGAAGATTGGATTCTTTCTCACAATAAGATTGTTTCACTCTGCCTTTAAAAAAAAAATGTGCAGCCTTATATTTTGCCAGATTTCAGAGACTCTATGGAGAGTTCTTTTTATAAAGCATTATCATGCAAGAGGAAGATAGCACCTCAGGTGTTTGAGCTGGGAGGCCACATACAATTCAAATCAGAGCGACCGGCCCTCCGTGGGACTGGAACAACCTGAAGTGGAGAACATAATCCACATCCCACACAGCCCCCGGACCCCTTTCTCTGGCAGCCTGATGATTAATGTGTAAACCAGAAAGACATTTCATTGACTGCCTTCTGGTCTCGAGCACAATGCAGTCAATAAATATTTATTGAATCCATTTTCCTAAGGCCTGCAGCACTTGCTCAATGATCAGTCATAACTGAATAAGCAAGAATTGTTCAGGGTGGTTACAAATAAATATATAAAGGTATGTTAATGGAATCCAAGCTAGGAATGGTCAGCAGGAAAGAAAATATGTATCCATCTATGGACAAGTTATCCCAGGGGTACTAGATTTGGGGTGAATAAGAAAGAAGCATGTCATGTAAGCTCCAGAAGTGAGGATTGCCAAAGAAAGGTAAAAAAGAAGAAAGGCATAGAGAAAGGTTTACAAATGGCTCTATTTTGAACAAATGAAAATACAATTTTTAGGGCCAATCTTTTGTATTCTCTCTGGCTTTATGCAGGTAACACTTTCATCTGTCACTGAAATGGCTCCTCCACACAAGAAATGGCAGAGTTAACTGAAATGGGCTCCCAAATTGTAATTTTTGCAATAAAGTTAAAATATGACTTTCTGCAACCTGTTTGGAGCTATAGCACCAATATGCTGATGCAGTTCCCTTTAAGCCCCAGTCACGTTAGATTTTGAATGGTGTATCACCAATTTGGGCATGGGCATGGGTGTTAAGGTGCATTTATTTAAGATTGAATGCTTGTCCTGAGTTAAAAGCAAATTAAAATCTTGTGTGTGAGATAATATTAAAAGGGGGCAATGTAATTAACACATTCTCCTCTGTGCAGTCTCCTCAAGCTCCTGTGGAGCCTGAGAAGGCACAGCTACAGTGAGAGCAGAAGCCTGGATGGTGCTGGCAAGGAAAGGCATCCGCATGGCTAGGTGTCCAGCTTTGTAGGGGGAAGACCTTGCCTCTGGGAAATGATCCAGTAAGCCAGCCTACAATTAATGCAAGCACAATTAATGACCATCTAGGTCCAGCCCTTCACCGAACTGGAAAGGACATTAGTAGCTGTACAGTTCACTTCCATTGGCTCTGATTCTGCATTCCCTGTCCACCGCCACTCCATGACTGAGGAGGAAACCAGTGTTCCATTGGCTTCAGGCAGCAAGAAAGAGGCAGATCCAGGAGGGAAATCAGGACATTTCAGGGTTCTTTTCAGGAGACCACCCCAAGGATGGAAGGTCATCAGGTCTACTGTATAGTGGACCCCCTTGGAAGCAGCTATGGTCCCTTGGGGTAACCTAAAGAAGACAGACAGTGTTTGATTCACGGCATTTTGAGAATTGTCTTTGCCTTTCTGGTGCTCTAGACAATTGAATGATATAGGCTTTATGGCCATCAACTCAACCGAGGAAACTTGCCCAAAGATTTATGGCTTACTGCTCACCCCCACCAAAATATCTGTTCTAAGTGTCTTCCGAATTCCACTCTCTCCTGACTTCTAGACCGCCTGCCGATTTTTTCCAAAAGAGGCAGAAAGAAGAGATTCTGAGGATTTTCTTCCTGAAGGTTATCACTTCTGATCATATATGTGAAGGCTGACCTGAGGTACCCTAGTATCCAACCTCCACACACTGAACACCTTCAGTGGCATCACTAGAAAAGACCAGAGAAGAAAAACCCAGGTCGCTAGCAAGAAAATGTGAAGAAAGGTGTTTTAAAGTTTAGAATTGTAAAAGGTCACTCAAAGAAGCCTTCACAAAAACTGAGCCATCAAGCTTCCCAGACAGGGAGTCAGATATGATCATAACACGAGGAAGAGAGGAAGGCTCTGAACGCTTCTTTCCCTTCAAGCTGGATGTCCAGCAGACTTGTCCCAAATCCAACTAAATGCACCTCTTTAAGCGCCTCCAACAGTCACCCTGCTATACCAAGACTTGATTACCTCTGCCGCCTCCGTAAGGCTCTAAGGCATTTATCAGATTACCACTTGAGGTCACATATCCTACTGTCATGTTTTGTGGTTGCCTATTTATGCGCCTACTCTCCCCAGAGAAATTAGAAGCTTGGAGCCGAGAAGGAAAAACTGTGTTCTGCATGCAGCAGGTGCCCAGTGCGAATTTGTAGAGCACATGCTGAATGAAATTGCTTTACTTGTAACTGTGGCCCCAGTTCTAGCCTACAGATCCTAGGAGTCCAAAGGGTGTAGAAAGAGAATTATGTGGAATTATGTGCAGCCAGCTGACAGCTGGGCTGCTATTTGTCTGCTCTTTTCCGAAGTCTCCATTGGCCATTCTGTCCCACAGAAGCCAGAAATACCTGCATATCAGAGAATCAAATGTAAGGTTTTGTCCGATAATATTTAAACCCCAAAGGCAGTGTGAGACATAATTTCTACTCTGGCAAAGAATGCATATTTTAAGGGATCGATCCATAAACTTTGCAAGAAAAAATACACAGACTAAGATGCCTTTTAAAACGGAGGATTCAGAATTGTGATTATAATTGATATGAAATGTTGATTGGAATTTTTATTATTCCTAAGATCTCTGCTACATTTCAGAGGTGGCACAAATTCAAACGTGTGGACACACTCATTCAGGGCTCCATCCCGGGTGAGAGGACATGGGGTAGTGGCTCCAAGTCCTGAGTCATCATTCATGTTTCTTCCCCGGCAAATGAGGTTTCATCCACCCTGGACTTTAATATACCCAAGTGTGTCTGTCTCAGCAGGTGGAGACTGTTTCTCCCCGTGAGGCATGCCTTGTTAGCCACACACGGACTTCTAGATGTTCAAAGAACAGATGAAGATTTCGCCTGGAGCTGATATTTTCTCTTAGGCTACTCCTTTCTCACACACACACTCACTGTTCCTCAAATTGTAGAGACCAATATAAGATTGTTAGCCTTTTCAATTGCCACATAAGAACTTTTAAAAACCACTATTTCTATCAACATCATTCCTTAATCCAAAAAGGACAAAGACAGACTTTATATTGAATAAATTGACATTTTTCTTGTCCTTCTAATTCTACTCTAGCCCTCTGATCTTGGTTATCATGTCCCCAAGCATGAGCATTCTAACAATGAAAATGTCTCTCCTGGAATGTTGCTAGATGGGTTCTAAATATTTAAAAACCTGGTTGTTTTTTCTTATGGATTTTAGGGTTTTATGTCCTAGGAGTCATAAAATTTAAGGATAGAATATGCAAAAGGGATCAGAAAATAGTAATAAAAATCATTAGAAGTCAAAGGTTTCCCTGGAATTTTTCGTTGGTAGGCACAATGCTAATCACCAATGCAAATTCTCGTGACCAAATCAAAAATTTGTTCTTTCTTCTCTGTTCCAGGTACATGGCCATCATCCATCCCCTCCAGCCCCGGCTGTCAGCCACGGCCACCAAGGTGGTCATCTGTGTCATCTGGGTCCTGGCTCTCCTACTGGCCTTCCCCCAGGGCTACTACTCAACCACAGAGACCATGCCCAACAGAGTGGTGTGTATGATTGAATGGCCAGAGCATCCCGACAAGATTTACGAGAAAGTGTGAGTAGGGATGACTCCCCAGTGGTGCCTCCTTTGTCTTTTCTTGTTTCTTCTTTCTTTCCATGCTCTTTTGTTGGTTGGGATTTAGTGTCTTTCTATAAGCATTTCTTCATAACCACTCTGATACCAGGTTGATGCATCCATCATTATCAAGGGACTCTTATCTCCCAAATACTACTCTGGACTTCAAATGAAAATTAGAAAAATGTAGGACCTGGATCCTGTTATAGCCTACCATCCAGGTGTTCCTTCCATCTCCTCCGTGGGTTACCAGTGACTGCCCCACCAGTGTCTACATTGCTTTGCCTGGGAGCTCTTTCCTCACCTACAGAACACCGCTCTGCCCTCTTGCTCAGCATGCCAGAGGTGGGGGAATTATCCCCTGCTCCCAGCAGCTCTCAACAACAGATAGGAACTGGTGTATGAACACCCCAGCTCCCTCAGCCCACAGGTGGGATGTCTCTGAGGTGTGTGTTTTACACTGTGTCCAAGGTTTTGTCTTGGGGTGAAGCTCCCCAGTCACCCCAGCAGCAGCTGGCTCAATCACACACCCTTCCTTGTATCACTGCCCTACTCCCTACTGGTGTTTCTTTCTCCTTCTAACTAAGTCACTTGCACTTGAATCTTTATCTCAGGATGTACCTCTGGGGAAAACCAAGCCACAGCACCTATCTTCCAGGGTTTTCTAGGTGGAGAAATAAGATGCACATTCAAAATGCATGGGAAGGCAAAGACAGTACAATGAGACCTTATGAATTACAAGTTTCCCTACAAAGCAGGCCTGCTTATCTTCAGGGCCCTGACTGATCTCATTTAAGGGTTTTCAAAGAAATCCTGGCAATTTTTTCCAAGACTTCTCCTAGAGGCAACACTGAAATGGCTTATTCTTTGTTTTGTTCTGCTCAGGTAAGTGGCAATGTGACATTTATATTACCATCAGTTTTCTGTGCTCAGAGCACATTGATAATGTGGGTCATTTTGAAAGTTCTCTATAATCCTCCTATCTCGGGTTTATTATGTGAATCATAAAAGAACACTGGTGTTAATAATCAGGTGATCTATGTTTTAATAACAAGATTGCCATTACTAGTTATGTGACTCTGGGCAAGGATCACAGTCCCCCCTCATTGTTAAAATTGAAAGCAACAAAGCACTGCTTCCCATAAACAACTGCTATGAAGCACAAACGAGATAATGTATCCTCTCCTTGTAAGCTATTAAATGCCATAGGAAAGGTAAGACATTGTTATCGAACGAAATTCATCAGATAGCGGTAAAATCATTATAGGCCTTTAAACTCACTAGATGGTAACACAAGACACTACCTATTAACCCCCAAGATCCGAGTGTCTTAAAGCCTGCTGCAGAGAGTTATGAGGCTGCACCATGGAGCATGGAAGTGGGGCTTGCCAGCAAGCAATACATAAAGCCCAGACTTTGCCTTCCAGACACAGGCAGTGGGATTTAATCGATCAAGCAGTGGGGGGATTAATGCTCAGCCTAGAAGGAGACATTGAAAATTATTCTTCCAAATGAAACTACAAGCCTGAGTGGGGTCTCAGCGGGAGAAAGAACATAGCTTCACAAGCTGTACAGGGCCCCTGAACATGTTTGAGCCAGAAGGTTCCCTCAAAAGGGAAAAATGAAAGCCCTGTGAATTAAAGCCCATTCTATAAACTGCTTAGAAACTGCCTTTGATTGCATGGACTGTAGCTCAGCTCTTGGCTCTCATGATCTTTTCCAAGTCTGGTTACCTTCCTACAGTTTTGTTTCAAAATACAGTTCGTTTATCTTCCAACAAATTCTAAGTTTAACATGGAAACAAAGGTATTTCCACAGATCTCTGGAGTCTTGCCCAAGAAATAGTAGTTTTTAAAGTTTTACTCTTGAACATTTTGCTGTCTTATGCTTATTAATGACTAAAGAAAGCCCTTTGAGACTCAATACAGCATGTGCCAGATTGTCTTATTTCCTTGCGATGAGAATTTAGGGTAGCTGTACTGGATGCATGGTTAGGTTTGCCATCATTGTTTATTTCATGATTTTTTAAACTTCTTCTTTTATTTGTTTATTTTTTAAATTTTATTATTTTTATTAAGTTTTTAATTTTAATTCCAGTATAGTTAATATACAGTGTTATATTAGTTTCAGATGTATAATGTAGTGATTCCACAATTCTATATATTACTCAGTGCTCACCATGCTAAGGGTTCACCTATTTCACCCATCTCCCCATCCCCTCCCTTCTGGTAACCATCAATTTCTTCACTATAGTTAAGAGTCTCTTTCTTGGTTTGTCTCTCCCTCTCTTTTTCCCTTTGCTCATTTGTTTTGTTTCTCAATTCCACATATGAGTGAAGATGAATGGATAAAGAAGATATGAGACACACACAGACACACACACACACATATACACACACACTGGAATATTGTTTGGCCATAAAAAAAGAAGGAAATCTTGCCATTTGCAACAAAATGGGTGGAGCTGAAGAGTATAATACTAGGTGAAATAAGTCAATCAGAGAAAGACAATACCATACGTTTATTTTTTTATTTTAACCTTAAAAAATGAGTCTGGAGAAGAGCATCTGATTTTATCTACTCAGGATGTGTAAAATGCTTATGGATACAGTGGTAAGTTAAAAGAACCCATATTTGTCATCCACATATGTGCTGTGAAGCAAACATAGGTCAAGTGCATAGTAAGCTTTATGTAAGTCTATTTCCTTTTTGTCAATATCCTTCATAATGTATTATGATATACTGTTAGAGAGTTTAAGTTTTACTAGCTGTAACCTAAGTACTTCATTATATTGTCTTCTGCTAGAACTGATTGCCATTTCCACAGCACACAATAATCCCAGATTTGAAACCAGAAGGAAACTTTGTTTAAGGCAGTATAATAATTAGGTTAGGAACGTGGGTTCTGGAGTTAAATGAGGGATCAACTCCCAGCCACATCACTCTCTAGTTGAGTCATCATGGTCAAGTTATTTAAGCCTCTAAGCTGAACGGAACATTCCACAGAGAGGTATTAAGAGAAGCAAATAAGGCACATGCTTAGCCCAGTGCCAGGCACATGGGAAGAGTCTGGTGAGTGTTAACTACTGTCATCAGCATCAGTCATTGATCTGGATGCATGGGTAGATGACTGGCAGCAGATAGTGTGGTGGGCAGATGCTTAGGCCCAATTTGCCTGATGAATAATTTGTGCCAGCTAATTACATAAAAAGGTTTTGTGAAAAATCTTAGATTGCTGCATTTGCCTTCTGGCTGCATGGTGAACCTCCAGACCTGATCATTAATCATTCAGACTCTTTATTAATACATGGATTAAATTAAGCACTATTAAAGAAAGACAATCCAATAAAAGAACAGGCAAAAGTTTTGAACATGCACTTCACAAAAGGAAATGTCCAAATGACCAATTAATATGTGAGGAGGCACAAAACTTCATTCGTCACCAGTGAAATACAAATTAAAACCATAATGACATCTTACTGCACACCCATTAGACTAGCAAATGTTAAGAAGTCTGACTCAACTAAGCATTCAGAACTTTTGGTGAAATTAGAAAACAATGAGAACCTTTGTAGACTGCTAGAAGAAGTATACATTGATAAAACCATATTGGAAAACATTTTATAGTATCCAGAAAAGCAGAAGCTATCCATACACTATAACCCCACAGTTTCGCTCAGGGGTAATTGCCCTAGAAAAATGCATGCATGTGTGCACCCAAATACAGCTAGCATGTGGTTCATATCAGCATTGTTCTTAATGCCCCAAACTGGAGATATTCCAAATGTCCATCATCAGTAGGATGGGTATAAAATTGTGGCACAAGCATGTAAGAGAATACTATGTAATTAATACAATGAACAAAATGTAGCTCCATGCAACATGGATGGCTCTTACAAAGTTTTAAAACAAAATGAACAAAATGAAAGTACATCTTTAAGAGCACATCAAGAGGTGGTAAAACTATAAAAGCAAACAAAGGAGTAGTCACCATGAAAGTGAAGACATGATTCTCTCTCATGGGAGGGAAAGGGGTATGATCAAGAAGAAACACTTAGAGGTGCTTCTGAGGGGCTGACACTATTATATTTCTTGATCTCTGTTGTAGTAGCATGAGTGTTGGCTTAAAAATCATTCATAATACCGGATAATTTTGTTCATCCACTTTTTCTGAAATGTATGCTTCATATTTTTTAATTATAAATTAAATGCTATTCAAATGATTTTGCTTTTACAAGCTCTCAAGAAACTGCTCTCATTGGGATAACCCCAAAAGTTCCTTCCTAAGAAATTACGTTTTGAGGTGTGGAGATTTGCCTAGAATGATATTATTCACAAGTTTTTACCTTTGAATAAGCCAAAGTATGGATGGACCCCACCTCATTCTCATGCTTACTTGACCCTGTGCATTTTGCCTTGCTGACTTCTATACTTTAGCCTACCTGGAATTTTCCCAACTGGTCTAAGAGTGTATGGGACAAATGCTGTCCTTGGAAGGAGTGGCAAACATTAAGGAGAGCATAAGGCCCAGACAGTCTCCACAGCTCCCTTCCCCCCTTGCTGCTATTCGTAAGCATCCACCTCTGGGCTATAAAATGTTACCGACAGACTTGGTCAGTTTCCTGGAAAATCATTTAAAACTTTATTTTGCATTTTTTAAAATGAGTAAATTATGGAGTCTATGGAAAATTCCTCTAATTTCTTTAATCATCTGTATGCCCATCATTCATGAAAGGCTCTAACATTTTGATGAATATTTTTCCAGTCTCTTATTCTCTCTCTAGGTAAATACTGTTCTTAGTTTCTTTTGAAGTGTCTTACATAGATACAGGTCAACACAAATATAAGTTGTTTCCCTCTCTGTAACATAAAATGTAGCTTTTTATGCACATCATTCTGTATCCTATTTTTAAAATTTGATATATCTTAGCGATATTTCCATATTAATTCATGAAGAGCTTTTCTATTCTTTTTCTCAG